TGTTTTATTTATTTCTAGGAGAGAGTGAGAGAGAGCGTAAGCAGGGGAGGGTCAGAGAGAGAGGGAGTCACAGACTGAAACAGGCTCCAGGCTCTGAGCGGGCAGTCAGCACAGAGCCCGATGCGGGGCTCGAATCCCCGAACCGCGAGATCATGACCTAAGCGGAAGTCGGACGCTTAACCGACTAAGCCACCCAGGAGCCCCAATATCATGGAAATTTCTTGACCCTTAGCCCAATTTTAGTGGATAGGGAGCCCTGAATATATCAGGTACTAAATTTATTTCTAGTCCAGGAAGGTGGGGTATTGGAGCAAGATTTTAATGTGGTTTTATTAAAAATAACAAAATGGCTCTTTTTTCTGAACATGATGCCTGCTGTAGTTACAGTTCATGAATAGCTTATTTTCTTCTTTTTCCTTGTCTTAACAGAATAGGAACCAATTTTTTCATAAGGCAAAGTCTGCAGCATAGGCCAGTCAAGTCTGCCAAGGAAGGGATATTAAAGTTATGAATTATTTGGTCTGTCTTCATGATTAAGAGGTCTAAGAGGTCTTAATGATCATTTTGCCAGGGAATAAAGATGCAGAAAAGGCAATCTATACATTACTGTTGTGAACTGACATATTGTTATAGTGTCACAAAGTTCTGACCCTCATTTTTGTTCAGGGGTCACAGTCTGCCCACTCCCAACCTGGATGATGGCTTTGGATTGCTGTCTGAATGACAGAATCCTTCATGTCCCATGGGCAAGACTGTGGTCCTTCCAAAAGGTGCAGCATTCAAAGAAGCATTTCAAGCCCATCCTCCCCTCACCACCTCCCTGCACACTCTGACCAGAAATCGCTTCAGATTCACTAACTTTGACCCATTCCTGTGTTTCTGCTGTCTCCTATCAACAACGCTTGTGAAGTGGCCTTAATCAGTTGCCATGACTGCTTGCCCCTGACACCCCTGCCACCTCCTAACCTCCACAAAAGGAAATCTTCCAGGGTGAGGAGAAATCTTCTTGGCCTAAACCAGGCCAAAGAAAGATTCTTTCTCTAACACACAAACATGGTAGTCTGTGTCCAGATTTTCTGGTCTTGACCTCAAATTTTCTAATGTTGCATTAAATTATGCATGTTTTTATGCTGAAATATGTGCTTCTTTTCACAATATTTTATTCAGCAAGTGTAGTTTATTATTTTAAATTTATTTTTTATACTTTTGAAAAAAGGTATAAACTTACAACCCAGAAATCTTAATTTTCAGTTTGGAAAACACTCACTCTATGTGTATATGATTAGATTATTAATGCATAAGGAAATTCACACATGAACCTAGGAGAAACTCCCAAAGCAAACCCTCTTTACATTCGATCAATCAGCCACGCCTTTCCTGCCTTCACTCAGATGGCCTGTGAAGCCCATCTCTAGTATGAATCCTCCCCTCACAATATGCAGCAGAGATGGTGACTTTTCTTCTCAAATCATGACATGCAGATAGTAGCTTGTGGTCATTACACAAAGTTTTAACACTTTGTCTTTATTCTGTTGATGTTTCTTGTATATGTCTAAAAATGCCTCTTTGTATATGTTTGTCTGCCGCAACCTCAAGCTTACAGGAAGTAGGAAAAGAACCTCCCTCCTCTTTTATGTTTACAAAAAGGACCTACAGAAACATTTAAAAAATTCATTTACTAATGTTTAGAGTAACTTAGGTGGTCAATAGTATAATTCCTTCTAGTTGGATTTAGGTAATGCTGTTTTTCTCAAAGGACTTCAGAGGTTACAAACAATCAGACAACCCAATAAATTCACAGAAGGTAGCCAACCATAAATCGTTCACAAAACAGCATAAAAAGATGGAAAAGCAGTTTGTAGAGAAGTGTAAGAAAAAGTTCACTTATTAAAACAGATTGAGGATGAAAATGGAAAGAATTTTGTCATTAGCTTTCTCAAATGGCAGGAAAGTATGAATGATTATTTATGGTGAAAATATTTATTTTATAGGTTGTTCAAAGCATGGAGTAAAGCTGGCTCTTTAGGAGAATAGTTATCATTACTGAGGGGACATTTTTCACAAAGATTATTTGCAAAGTAGACTTAGGAAACTAGGTCAACAAGCTGAGCCAAAGAGAAATATTACTGTAATTCCTTGGCCACAGGCCCACCCAAGAACATTGGTCTAAGCCACAAGAGAAATACATTTTCATAAATATACCACTATGTTAAATTAATGACCCCAAAGATAGTTTGAAATTTTATTCTACTTTGGATTGACTCCAACAGTGCCAACTACTACTGGTGCCTGACAAGTCACCAGCCTGGATGTGTCACAGTTTAATGCCTTACAAATGCAAAGTGCGGGGACTGAAGGACATGAGCAAAGAACTGAAGGAATTAGTGAAAGAGGAGGTCACTCAGAGTAGCTTTGCCATAGGCAACCTAGAGATTATATTTACGGAGCACCTATTATGCGCAATGCATTTTATAATGATACAGAGGGAAGATTTTTCTATTTAAATACTAAACATTGTTATCCTAAACAAAGTCAAACTTTTCAAGGTTACAACTCTATCATTAGAATTCAGTTTCATTCAGGGAAATCTCAAATACTTGAGTAACTGGAATATTCTCGCCTCCTCTACCTGTCTTAATCCTTCATGAATTCATCATACCTCAACAGTTCAGAGCTAACGGACTTTGAAGAAAAACTTAGAGCTCCTTATCATCCAGAGGAAGTTAAATTGCGTGCCTCAAGGACTTTTCAGTAAGATTAGGAAGTAGGCAAGAATATTAAATTCTCTAATCTGCAGAGTAATTGTAAGGCAGTTTTTTCATAAATGCACCCATCCCTCCCTTAACTTCTGCCTCTCCTGTCTAAAACTCTCCAAAAGCTCCCCGTTGTACTTAGAATAAAATTCTAACTTCTTGTTTGAGTCTATGAAGCTCTACATGATCTATCCTTGCCTATGGCTTTGACTTTTCTAGTAACTTATGCTCACTATTGATCCTGCAGGTACAGAGGATTCTTGTGCTAACCCTTGCCTTGAACCTTTCCCATCCCGAGCTTCCTTGGCTGGCTCCTGCCTGTCATTCAAATCTTAGTTCAAAAGTCACTTTCCCCATGAGGCCAATTCTCACTTTCAAATTGAACTTCATTGTAAAACATATTACCTCACCCCTCACTTCTGTTTTACTTTCTTCCAAGCACTTGCAAAATCTGAAGTTGTATGTTCATGTCTTGTTTACTCGTTTCGTTTCTTACTCCTACCAGAATATATGAGGAAGGACTTTGTCCTACTCATTACTATATCCCAGTGCCTGGAACAGTGCCTGCCAGATAGTCAGTGATCAAGAAATCTGTACTGAATGAATCAGCCCAGAAATTATTTCTTTAGCAACTATTCATCCAGATTGTGGCCATAGTTATAGAAAGCAAAAATACCGTGTCTGAACACACAAAATCAGAAGAAAAAAGTGTATTAAAATTCATGAGATTTTCTGCTATAGACAAACTACTCAACCCCTTACACAGAGCAATTTTACTTTTTCTTTACACAATTAACTTGATTTATAATTTAAACAAATTTGTTATCTAGTTTCCTGGGATTGTGGTGGATTAGAAAAAGTATATTAGATGTAGGCACATTAATAACAGCAAGAAGGAAAAGGCCAACCTGCAGGAAGTTGAAAAATTACTGAAAAGCAATAAGGACACAGACAATAGAATATTTGGAGACATTATGTATAAAAGCAAATAGTCTTGGGGCACCTGGATGGCTCAGTTGGTTGAGCTCCAACTTCGGTTCAGGTCATGATCTCGTAGTTTGTGAGTTCGAGCCCCGCATCGGGCTCTGTGCTGACAGCTCAGAGCCTGGAGCCTGCTTCAGATTCTGTGTCTCCCTCTCTGTCTGATCCTCCCCCACTCATGCTCTGTCTCTCCCTCTCTCTCAAAAATAAATAAAAACTTAAAAAAACAAAAAGCAAATAGTCTTACCAATGTAAAGTTGCCAACAAATAATACTACTATTGTAGTGATTACTCAAGTTATCAATAAAACTATATTATGTTGTATATACCTCTAAAGAAACAAGGAAATAGTAAATATCAAGTACTTCTGAGAAAAGATTTTATCCAAAATATTATTTTTATTGTTATTTTAAAGGCTAAGCAAAATTTGGTTTTCTGAGAGAACTATTTCTATGGAACATGTTAAAAACCTCCTTCCTTCCTTCTTTCCTTTCTTCCTTCCTATTCCCCTTCTCCTTTCCTTTCCTCCTACCCTTCTCACAATGAGAACTGTGTAGCTAACCATGTCCTTTATAGCTTGGATATGTAGAAAGCACAGATCCAAATCTGACTTTCAATAATACCAGCTCTGTAGGCCTTTATGACATTTTTTGTTGTTGTTTTTCTAATTTTGATGTGATCTTTTCTTCATCTTGATCCTTATTTATATTTTCCTACACCAGATTATTTATTACTATTTACCTTTCCCTTTGCCATTTTTTAAATTCATTATTTGTGCTATAGTTGCAGTGCACTTGAAATCCTTTATGGAAAAGATTGAGTACATATAAACAAACTCTCCTGAGATCTTTCTGCTTATGATTGGGATAAATGGTGCGACTTTTTAATTGTTACTTCGTACAATCAGTTTGAGAATTCAATAAAGAGAAACAAAGCTCTTTGCTGATAAAGTGGGATTTTCAAATGACAGAACACTGTAAGTGCTTGAATAATGCCCTGAAGCTTTTTGGCTCATAATCTGCTGGACCTGGTGATTGAAAGGTTAATACAAATTCACACATCCTGAAAATTGAAAGTTAGATTCCAAAAAGTTAAAATTGATGAAATATAATCACAGGAAATATGTACAACACAAAGGGCAGCCAAAAAAGGAGTCACAGCTACTGATTACTTTAAAATGAGGGAAAGTGAGCTTCCTAAAAACACAGCCCTGCAATAGCCCAGCAATGTTAACTATATGGAACCATCATTCTTTCTTTTGCCCACCTTTTGTTTTTTTCATTGATATGGTTCAGTTCAAGGAATCAGTATAGCCCAGTTCAACAAATGTGGCTTATGTTTGAGATTTTTGTTGTTCTTTCTTCTTGAATTCTGTTGGTCAGGAGTCCCAGTGAGTTGCTGTAAAGTGGAGGAGATCACACGCAGAATCTAAGATGGTTATCTGCTTAGTATGGAACCCCACTTTCACTAAGGACTTACATTTGTGTAAATCTTATAGCATCTTATCGTCTCTGAAAAATCCACAAGAAAGAAACATATTTGAAAGAGAAAATTTACAATGTCATAGCCAGTATCAGATTCTGAAAACAAATCTGTTCATAAACCATATCAAGCAATAGTTTGATTTTAATATATTGCTTACTTCAGGGATGCTCTTTTAAAATTTCCCCAAAGTCTATAAAAACTGACTTCCTTAAAATTTGAAAAGACTCAGATAAGATATTTATACAAAGCAATCAGTTTATAAGTTTTAGCTGACAACACCCTGGCAGTGTTTTTGGTCATTTATTTGTTCGTTGTCCACATTTGCTCCCCTCCTCGCCATGTCCCATTAATTTCTAGAAACTGTCCCTTTCTAACACATACATATTCATCACCATTTTTGGCCTATCAGCAGACCTGATAGTACTTTGTGAGCTGTACTTGCTCCTGCACCCACGAAAATAAACTGGGGGGATACCCAACCCACATTGGTCCAGGAAGCCTCTTCCCAGGGTATTGGGAAGCAGTCCTAAGGGGTTCCAGTCTTGGTCTGAATTGTCTCTGAGAGGAGATGTAAACTGGGAATTGTGGGTGGCCATATTCCTCCCTGTGGAAGAAGGGGTAGAGGAAGCAGATGTGTAGAAAGAAAGAAAATGATTCAGAGAAGACTACAGAGAGGAGCAGGGGCCAACAGAGAAAAGAGATAAAGAGAGACCCCTGAAAGTTCTGGACCTCTCATTCCAGTTGGTCTTGAGGCCCATCTATGCCTCTGTCCTTGGGTTCTACACTTACACATGTATCTTTCTTCCAATGAGTCCCCTGCATTTGGGATAAAATATCCCTGAGGATTTTTACTGTACACAACCAAGAATCCTAACTAGAACAAGAATCCTAATAGAACACCTTTGTTCAAGGGCACAAGCTTTCAAAGTTAAACTAAGGCAATCTGTTGAAATTAATTCAAACTAGCTAAGTGAGGACAAGTTTCTTCATCATTCTAGGTCTTACTTTCTGATTGAATTGATTGCCAATATTTTCTTTGCTGAATAATTGATTCAAAAGGCTAAAAATACCTTTCAGCAAATTTATTTCCTTTTAATATGGGAGAATAACAAAACACAACTCTTTTGTGTATAGTCAAAAAACCTAACTTTAGCTCCTGTCCAAATGTCTCAGTCCAAACCTAATATTTGAATAATGTTACTAATATTTGGTAAAAACAATTAACATTCAAGATTTAAAAATTGGGTATATTTTGGTATAAAGTGTTTTAAAGTACAATTAGTTCTTATTTATCCTCTGGATGTAGAAAGGCATGTAATTTTACCAATAAAGGAGTTTCCCAACTTATAGTAACTTCTAAATATGATGGGCTTTTAGAGATTTCTTATCAAAAGCTATAGTTTAGGTTGAATTTCCAAAATATAGGCACAAATGGATTGGTGAGAACCTAGAATCACAGAGCTAGATGAAAGGAAAGCAGTCTAATCTTTTCACATTACAGATAAGGAATTAAGACCCAGATGAAGAGACTTGCCCTTAACTTAGCTGACTTGAATCAAAGAGAGGGCCAGAGCCCCTGTGTCCCAGCTCCCACTCCAACTGCTTTTCTCTTATGTCACAGGAACCCCCGGCTGTAAAATGTCCCCTGTGTTCCTTGCCCTTTTCTTCCAATCAAGATGCTGAAGTGTATATAGTTCCATGAGGGTAGCACTTGTACAATGATCACAGGACGTCTGTGTTTGAATGTGAAAGGAAAGGGTAAGGAGAGAAAAAGAGCGAGAAAATGTTGTCATGGGAATGCCAAGGCAAATCACAAAATAAAAAAGAATTGAAACTCAGTCTGCTCTCTCAGACTTCATTTATTCAAGGAATAAATCAAGACATCTGTGTCAAAACCAATGCAGTGTAAAACAGACTAAAGATAAGCTTTTCAATGCAATCAATACTGTCTCCTAAGTACTAAAATCTTTTAAAAGGGACATCACCACACATCTATCTATATTGCTGTTAAAACTACCACGTGGGCATTTGTGTAAGCTCTCTCTTTGTTCTAATTTCTATTTTAAAATTCTAAATTGCTCACCAAGAAGGATTAATGTAAAGATGGAATTACCATTTTATGTTCAGAACAGTTTCTAAGCTTACAACAGGTCAGAAAAGTCAAAGATGTTGGGTAATTAAGTGTTTACCCCACATAAGATATTGACCTCTTCCAGGAGTGGTTAGGTATACCTGGTGGGGGGCAGGGAGGGGGTCAGTATTCAACTCCAGAAGGGAATTTAATTCAAGCAAAATCTGTTAGAGAAGGAAATATCAATCATTAGGAGATAGAGAGCTGGGAATTCTGGCCCTAAAATTCCATAGAGGGGATTTGTTTTATTGCTCAGAAAAGCCTTTCTGAGGTTCATTCCATCATTTATTCATTCATTCATTCAACTAATTGTGAAGTGCCAGGCACTGTGCTATTCACATATATAACCATCCCAGCGCCCACTGGAGTCCCAGATCTCCCTGAAGAGAGAGGAGGCAAGCCCAACGTAAGTGTCTTCCTTGCAGTGAAGTCACTTGACAAAATCACTAATCTTTAGAAACAAGCTGAGGCAGATGAAATTAAATTGTTTTAATACTTTTATTTCATTAAAGAGTTTCATTCATTTTCTGAATTCATAGATTCATGATCATAGCAAGTCAGAACTGGAAAGATCTCAGAGAACAAAAGTGATAACCTAGCTTTGTCCAATGAGTTGTCAGAGGCTGCTTAGCTAATTATCTAGTTAGTCGGCAGAACCACAGCTTCATTTTCATCTCTTAAATTCCAGTGCCAGTGACTTTTATGCTAAATAAAAATTTTCCATCAAAAACTTACAGACTTATATTTCAGACATTGGTCTTATTTTAAAGCAAAACAATCCAAGACACAGAAAGTTAAAACTATTTTTTCTAGTCTGCTTGCCAGGGCCTGCCTATAAGAATATAGTCTACATCACACTTCTATTCACTGTCTTAAAGAAGAACTACCCAACCTCTAAGCCTCCCATGGACTCCTCGTCTGTCTGGCTCATTCTCCAACTTGAACATTCCTAGAAGCTGGTGATAAAAACTCAAAAAGGTGATTGCTTTTGAGATGAGAAAGGAGGAAAAGAAAAGGAAGACCAATAGAGAGAAGTAAAATTTCTGGTAAATTTAAAGCTATAGATGAAAATTGGGGGGTGGTTTGTTGTAAAAATGGTATTTGGGGGAAGATCTTTAAGATATATTTCATTACTATGATTTAAATGCCAAAAGTCATTGTTACTTCCAAACATAAAATATGTAAGATATAAATACCTGGTTTTAAAAAAAATTGGAAATTTTCCACAATGATTGTAGAGAAAACATTTTCCCCCTCTCTTTTGTGTTGTGTCTGTTTTATCTTCATATTGTCTTTGTATCCTTAGCCCCAGATTCAAGACACACATCAACAGTTCCTCTCATTCCCACAGAGAGGCAGCAGAACATGGGGTCCAAGATAGCCTTAGGGCAGCTCTGGCCTCAGACCACGGAATCTTTTCTGATTCACACTGACAGACTTACCACAAAAATGTTACAGCCCTCAAGTTGGTATTGCCCAGAGCTGGAACTCCATGTCCTCCAAACCCAGGCCTTCATTCCTTCTAGAAAGCAGTGTTTGTTCACATAAGGCTTGTCACTAGACCTGGCATTCCCAAGCGTCCTTCTCCCATCCTCTCCACCAGAGAATATAGAAGTATAGAGTCCCAGGTTCCAGGAAGTAGTGGGTTACCCTCCAAGGAAATCTCACCCGCTCAGAAGACCCTGAGAGAAGGCTGAAAGAGCTCTGGCCTGCAAGTGGATAACGAGAGTTCTGTCCTGAGCTGCCACATCCTAGTCATGGGATTTAGCAAGTTGCTGACCGTCTACAAGCATCTTGTCTCTTCATCCATGAAGTGGGGATGATAATAATGTATATCCTATCTTCATGGAGTTTTGACGTTTTACTAAGAGGAAATAGTGCATTGGAAGCCTTCTATTTGCCATAGAGTGCTATAGTTGTTTTTGCTATAAATTAAAAACCAATCAATTTGATTTGCTACACTCACTCCCTATGATATTTGGAAGGATGTCAGTCAACAATTTTTATATTGGATTCCATTTGTTTCAGCTGTGAGAGAATAAATTTAGCCATCTGGGGTACTGTGAAGAAGAGACTTTACACTTAAGATCCAGATTTTTCTGCTTAGAATGTTGATACAAGGACTTCAAGCCTATGAAACACATGTAGTCATAGACTTTGCTTCTATATAACCAACATTTCACTTTAATAAATCAATCACATTTTTCATGAGTACATCAGGTTAAAGTTTCCATTATGGGTAAAAAGGGCTTTCCATTCATAGGTGACAAGAAGACGTTTTTAATCAGTCTGCTGCCACTTTGCAGTGACTTCTACAGCTAAATTCCAAAGCATGAGAAGACTAGAGAATTCTCATACACTAGTCTATCAAATCCAGACATCTTAATCTGCTCAAGACTGGGCAGATAGAAAACCTCTCTCTGTTAATTGTACTCCTTTCTCAAAGACAGAAGACCAGGCAGGGGTCACCTGGCTAACAATAGCCATAAGGCATTTAAAGGACTTGTGGTCTGAGGGTGTTAATTTCCCAACTCCCATCATTCCTGTGCTGGAGAGAATCACAACGTTTGACCAGCAACCTCAAGGATAAGTTTTTGTAGCGCTGCTTTCTTCTTCTTTTTTTTAAAAAAAATTTTTTTTAATAGCAATTTTGGTTTTTTTTTATATTTTTATTTATTTCTAGAAGAGAGAGAGACAGCGTGAGCAGGGGAGGGTCAGAGAGAGAGGGAGTCACAGACTGAAACAGGCTCCAGGCTCTGAGCTGGCAGTCAGCGCAGAGCCCGACGCGGGGCTCGAACCCACGAACCGTGAGATCATGACCTAAGCGAAAGTCAGACGCTTAACCAACTAAGCCACCCAGGCGCCCCTTTTTAAAAATTTTTTAATGTTTTATTTATCTCTGAGAGAGAGAGAGAGAAGCAGCATGAACAGGGGAGGGTCAGAGAGAAAGGGAGACAAAGAATCCAAAGTAGGCTCCAGGCTCTGAGCTAGCTGTCAGCACAGAGCCCAATGCGGGACTCAAACCCATAAACCATGAGATCATGACCTGAGCCCAAGTCGGACGCCCTACCGACTGAGCCACCCATGAGCTCCTGTAGTGCTGCTTTCTAACCACCTTTAGTCCTACCCTAGATGGACAGGCTACATGGACTCTGTGCTCTCTCATCCTACCCAGGTGACTCAGTGATTTTCCTCTCTTCTTCTCTCCCTTAAGACAAGGCTACTGAGGGCCCCTTTTACTGGCCCAACACTTTAGTACACAAATCTAAGTTTATAGTCCAGAATCTTACAACGCTTAGTTTAGATGGAGCAGTGTCTGGGAGCCCATTCATAAAAGTTGCTACATGAAGCAGACAACGCAGAAATATACCCACTTGGACCAACTCCCAAGGTACCTCTCCCTAGAGAAATGGCTCTGAGGCTTTGGTTTATATCCGGACAGTGGGAGGGGAGAGTAGGAAAAGATAGAGTTTTCAAATTATCAAACCAGCATCAAAGTACATAAACAAGTACTGTGTGACCCCACATAGAGAGACAGGGCTCTGACGCATGGGTATGCCATTCCTCCTAAATCCCTGTAGGAAATGAGCGATACAAGAACTAGGAAGGAATGTAAACTATTTCTTAAGGAAGCAGGCTAGTATCTCTTTTCTTCCAAGAATTCCCTTCTGAATAGAACTTGGGCTCATCCTTTCTCCCCAATTCTTTTTTTTTTTTTTTTAATGTTTTATTTATTTCTAGGAGAGAGAGACAGCGTGAGCAGGGGAGGGTCAGAGAGAGAGGGAGTCACAGACTGAAACAGGCTCCAGGCTCTGAGCTGGCAGTCAGCACAGAGCCCGATGCGGGGCTCGAACCCACGAACCGCGAGATCATGACCTAAGCGAAAGTCGGATGCTTAACCGACTAAGCCACCCAGGCGCCCCTTTTTAAAAATTTTTTAATGTTTTATTTATTTCTAGGAGAGAGAGACAGCGTGAGCAGGGGAGGGTCAGAGAGAGAGGGAGTCACAGACTGAAACAGGCTCCAGGCTCTGAGCTGGCAGTCAGCACAGAGCCCGATGCGGGGCTCGAACCCACGAACCGCGAGATCATGACCTAAGCGAAAGTCGGATGCTTAACCGACTAAGCCACCCAGGCGCCCCTCCCCAATTCTTAACTGTGACTATACAGGTTCCCAGTTAAAAGGGGAAAGAGAAAGGAAGGATGGTGTGTAGAAGCACATAGGAAAGAGTCACAGAATCTAGATGAAGCCACATCATTTCCAAGCCCATGGAAGACCCATTTTTTAATGTAAATTTCATCCATTTCTCCTGTGAGGTCCCTGAGAGTCCCTTCTGTGTCCACCTTCCCATACCCCAACAAAAGTCCCCATTCTTCTCTATGATCCCACCAAACCCAACACACATGCTCTTCCTCACCCTCACCACTGTCACCTATGTATATGCAAAGTAGAGCAAATTGTCTAAGATTTTTAAAAAGGGTAAATAAAAGCATACTTTTTAAATTTGTCCATCCATTTTAGGAGCTGTATACCTGAACTGGGTGGAGAGAGCACCAGCACAATGAGGAGGTTGAGTCAGAGATGCAGAGAATAAGATGCCGATAACAATGAGCCAGCATGGCCATGATTGGAGATAAAGCCCATAAGAGCTAGAAGAGACCCTGAAGACCACCCAGAGTTATCTCTTCCATTCCTGCTGGGAAATGAAGGCTGAGAGGTCAATGCCCAGGGCTATATAGCCTCTTGGGTTGGGGCGTGGGGGGAGATGGGAGGTACATATGAGGGCTTTAGAAAGTCAAGCATCTAAAGATGTGGCTGAGTTCCAAGGCTGCACTCCAGTTATGAAAACCTCCACAAAATTCACTGAAGCCTCCTCAAAGTGCCCAGAGCCTATTCCAGAGAATAGGTTTTGCTTCTATACTTTTCTTTTTGGAAGGGGGAGAATTCCCCCCTTCTTATACCCCTCCCCATCTGAAATTGGAGGTATGAGCCTCTATTTTTCAGGGTGGTTATGAGGTAATAAGAAATGGGATATAAGAAAATATCTGGCATAATAGCTGACAATTATAGGGTTCAATAAAGGTCTATGTACCTCCTTTATTCTTCCCTCTGGTCTTCCCCTAAAATATGTACTTCCTTTTCTTCTCCTATCTTTCTCAGAAATCTTGGGAAACAGTTATTCATCCTCTCCTTCCAAACAAAATGTTGCTAATGGCTAGGAAAGGTGGCAGAGCACAGAGGAAAGATCCAGGCCTAAGGCCGGGGGACTGTGGCTGATGAGTACCTCTGCTACTGAGGTTCACTCTATCGACAGTGCAGGGGACATCCAAGTGTGAGCAACTGGGAGCCTTAGTGGGCACATCTGTCCCTATTCGCTATTCTCTCTACTACTAGGAACACCTGGGATCTGAGGATTCAGCCACATAGGCTTTCTTACCTTGAGAGGCAGAGCGACAGGCAGGGCCGGGTAGCTCTTGCTGGTCTGAATGGGCGGACAGTATCTGTAGAGCCTTGCTCTCCTAGCTCGCACAGTGGTGCTGGTGCCCTCTTCACAGCTCTTGGGGAGAACCTGGCAGGTGGCAACACCTCTCCTCAGCATAGCACTTTCACCTCTGTCAGTAGTGTGAGCCAGGCTGGTCTGTGGAATTGAACATCCCAAAGCATCCCAAGACTGAGGGTCCATGCTCCACAGGTCCTGGGGGACAGTGATGGCTGGCCAGTGCTTCCATCCCATGGAGGGATTGCTGCTTTCATTGCTCATAACGGGAGCTGGGCTAGGAAGTCTGCATGACAGGGGCTGTAGCCGTCCAAATTTCCTGGAGGCAGGGGCCGGGGAAGGCCTGTGACGTGGGGATCTGCAGACGCCACCCCTTCTTACGTCCAGATCCTGGGGTTTTTCCTCTCTCTCCTCCTTCAGAGCAGAGCAACTGAAAGCAGCTGGTTCCTGTGTCCCAGAGTCCCCCTTCTGCAGCAGGCAGGAGGGAGGAGCAGCCAAGCCCTGTGTGTGCCTGAGGTCCTGGCCTGCCAAGAAGCCAGTCCTGGGACTTGGGAAAATGTGTCCCTCCTCTGGCCCCCCGGGGGCGGCTGTCCAGGCTGCAGCGGCTGGAGACTGGGAGGGGAGAGCTTGGGCAGGGGGGGCCTGCAGCTGGATGAAGAGGAAGGAAGTTTTCATCTGCTGTTGCGCGGGCTGTTCAGCCATTTCCTCCAAGGGGGTAGGGCCCTTGTCAGGGTCGAGTTTCAGACCTCAGTGCCCAGGGATGCAGATGCCAGCAGCTGTGGACAGACATGACTTGGCCCCATGGTTCCACTGACAGCCTGAGGAAGCAAATGACACACCTTTAGCACCCAGGGGCAGTCTTCAAGGAGCAGGGGATAATGTTGCTGTGAGACTGGACTCAGCACTCACTTTACAGCATTACAAAACCAGACTGACTGATGGAGAACACTCTAGGAATGAGAGGTGGGAGGGGACAGTCAAGACTCAGCACTCTCACCTTGGGGAGTCTGATGGAATTCCTTTTTCTTGATTAAATGTCCCCTTCCCCATATTTGAAATGAAAACATTAAAGTTATTTGTTTCGTTGTTTAATCCTGAATTCTATATTAGCTACCTTTGTTCTTTGGTGTCTGACTTGTGAGACACTGTGTGATATGTAGATAAAGCTTCCAGGACATTTCAAGGTGTACGTTTAATCTACCTTGCTTGCACTGATAATGCGCAGTCGTTTTAATGAATTTCCTCTTTAAACTCTGTGGTTATTTAGGAGTTCCCCAGTGTTAGTCCCATAGACCCATATCAAAATACACGGTATCAAACACACAAACACACACACACACACACACACACACACACACAGAAATAAAGAGATACAGATGAAAAAAGGATAAGGAGAAAAAGAGAGACAGAATGATGAAGTAAGAAAAAATATGCAGATAACAAACCAGATGGGAGAGGTTTTTGCTTGTTTTAAATAAATACTTCAGCCTCTCGTGAAAAGGCTAAAGCAATTCACCTGAAAGTTCACTGAGTTTACTTTCAGAGTGTTACTATAGGATCAATAGCTCTCACAATAGAGAAGAACATTTTGAGTCCTGTGGCCTTGTTCCTGAGGAGAGAAGTGAGTAGAATGTAGGAAAAGTCTTTTCTTTTCATTTGAACTTGACTGAAAGGGAACTAGGAAATTATACTCTGAGACAAACTGAGCACATGCCCAGAAAATTGGCTACTTGGCCGCACATGAGCCTGAACTGTCTCTCTCTCCCTGACCCCTGGCCAATACCTTACATTGGCAGCACCGCTGGATTACTGCAGAGCCATGGCCTTGGCTGACCGCTCCTGGCTAAGGTGTCTTTGGACGTTCTCAGGATGGGTGGTTGGAGCTCTCTGTTTATTTTTATTTTAAACATCTTCACACCGCCGTTACACCCAAGGTTATGACAGCTCTGCCCACATTTCTAGACAGCTGACAAAGGACTCAGTGTACATCTACTCAGAAATATGCCCAGAGCTGTCTAGTCTAGACACAGGACAGTATAATCCCTTTATAACACACATCATTCCAGAGAAAACGTCAGCAAAGCAATGTTATGTCCAAGTCTTAGACCCCTCTATTGAAATAGTGATATTTTGATCGGATCACACTATTTTTCAATAAAAATCCTGTGTTGACTGATGTCTAGTCCTCTTACATAATTTTCCCACTCTCCTATAAAAGTACTTGTGTGAACACTAATCACTCAACAAATACTAGTTTTTTAACAGATTAACTGCCAATAAGGTAAGGAGTTGTCTTTGTACAGAACAGGGATTTGAATGAGAAGAACCATCCTTTCGTTTTCGCCAATTGCGATTGGCCAGTTGCCAATCATTAAGCTAGGTGCTTTACAGACTTAATGTTATTCAAGGCAGAACACAATCTGGTGAGGAGATGGCATTATCTCCATTTTGCAGTTGAGGAATGTGAGCCTCAAGGAAGTGAAATAATTGCCAGGTGCCTCTTTACCACAACTGCCAGATTGGCCAGGGTTTTAAAGAATCATCAGATGAGAAGTTTCACTTCAATTTCAACCTCCAAATAAAACTATGTATGAACAAAAAAACTATAGTTGTAGTGGTGGTGTGTTCAGGACACTTCTCCCTTCTAACTTGTTATTTGTAAGCCTACCACAGAAGTGATTACTGCCAAATATTTCATTTCTAGGTTGTATATAGGCTTGGAATAGAAGAGAAGAGTTGACAGAAGGGCTCAAAAATTTACATGGAGGATACATGTAAGACATCTTCTTAGGACACTCTTAAGTATTTGAGGGGCACCTTCAGGGAAGGCTAGGATTCTGTATGAGAAGTTGTGGCAAGTGACAGAGAAACATGGGTTTCTGCTATGATGGAAAGAGCACTGTGATTGAGAGTGTGTATTTTGCCAGACAGACATTTCTCTGAATCCATTGTGTGACTGTGTGATCTTGAGCAAGTTTCTTGACCTCTCTGTTAATTAGTTTCTTCTTCTCTAAGATGAGGTAACAATATCTACTTTAGAGAGTTGTTGAGAGGATTAGGTGGAAGTATATATAAAGGGCTTGCTTAGCATAGTAGTTGGCACATAATGGTTTCTCAACAAATGCCAGCAACTCTTAGAATTTATATCCACTTACTATTGAGTCCTAGAGAAAACTGGTTGGCCCAATGGAACGATGTGAGCTATGACATTAAATATGCATATTTAACCTTCATTGGGTAACCACACACATGTTTTCATGCTTCTCATGTGATGGGGCTAAGAGCTAAGGAATTAAGTGGGATGAGGGAAGAGTCAGCAGTGAATTTGGGGTCTGGACACATATGCTTGAGTCTTGCTGTGATCATTTATTAGCTGTGACTCACAGCAAGTTTCTGAACCTCAGTGCATTTACCTGAGCAAGATAAATTTCTGAGCTTCTTGCCTTAAAGAATTGTTTTGAGGGTCAAATGGCATAATGTATGCAAGAATACTTTGTAAACACAAAGAGAGAGAGAGAGAGAGAGAAAGCATGAGTTTGGGAGGGGCAGAGAAAAGGGAGAGAGAGAATCCCAAGCAGGCTCCATGCTGTCAGCACAAAGCCCAACACAGGACTCAATCCCATGAACCATGAGATCATGACCTGAGCTGAAATCAAGAGTCAGATGCTTAACTGACTGAGCTACACAGGCACCCTCATATCAGGTCTTTAAGTCAGAATGGATTTTGTTATAATAATATCAGTAATAACTAAATGAAATCATTCTTTCTGATTTTTCTGAAGACTCGAGATTTATTTTTCTTGAAAGGATTCTAGATTGATTCCCACCACCACTGACTTCCAAGATTCATAAGGTGTGAATACAAACAACAGATAATTTCAACTATACTCTATGTCTGCTAGTGATTTCTTCTCATTACTTTTAGAGAGAAAATAACATTATAAAATCTTAACAAGGGTGGAGTGGGGGTGAGCACTAGGAAGGGCTATCAGAGCACTCACTTCTTTCATTAAAATTTTTTTGTTAATATTTATTTATTTTTGAGAGAGAGAGAGAGAAGAGAGAGAAAGGTGTGAGCAGGGGAGACACAGAATCTGAAGCAGGCTCTAGGATATGAGCTGTCAGCACAGAGCCCAATGAAGGGTCTGAACTTGCAAATCTAAGATTGTGACCTGAGTCCATCAGACACTTAACTGACTGAGCCACCCAGGCCACCCCTAGTTTGTTTGTTTGTTTATTTGATTTTTTATTTTTTGTTTTATTTTTTTTCTTTTATAGTTTATTGTCAAGTTGGTTTCCATATAACACTCAGTGCTCATCCCAACAAGTGCCCTCCACCATGCACATCACCCCCTTTCCTCTCTCTCCCACCCTATCAGCCCTCAGTTTGTTCTCAGTATTCAAGAGCCTTTCATGGTTTGCCTCCCTCCCTCTCCCCATGGTCCTCCGTTAAGTTTCTCCTGTTCCACTTACGAGTGAAAACATATGGTGTCTGTCCTTCTCTGCCTGACTTATTTCACTTAGCATAACACCCTCGAGTTCCATCCACATTGCTACAAATGGCCAGATTTCACTTTTTCTCATTGCCATGTAGTATTCCATCGTATAGATAAACCACATCTTGATCCATTCATCGGTTGATGGACATTTAGGCTCTTTTCATGTCTTGGCTATTGTTGAGAGTGCTGCTATGAACATTGGGGTACGTGTGCCCCTATGCATCAGCATTCCTGTATCCCTTGGGTAAATCCCTAGCAGTGCAGTTGCTGGATCATAGGAGAATTCTATTGTTAATTTTTTGAGGAACCTCCACACTGTTTTCCAGAGGGGCTGCACTAATTTACATTCTCACCAACAGTGTAGGACGGCAGGCCCTACTTTAAACCTTATGACAACCTTATGAAGTAGGCAGGAGGATTCTCCTTTTAGAAATTCAGAGAGAGAGAATAAAGGAGATGAAGTAACTTGCTCAGAGCAACATGGTTTGGGACAGCAATAATTTGAGAGTTTCCCCCAGGTCTGGCTCTTTTCCCTCCGTTAGGATGGGTGGACCCAATTAACATAGCTTGTTCAGCCTATCAGTACTTTCTATATCCAAAGCTTGGATTCCTAGGAAAGATCTACTCACCACTAATGTGTTACATTTGCTGCTGAAGGAATTAGTTATTTCTCTAGTATTTTTAGGAGCTTAAATAATTCAAGATTGTACAAAATGGTCAATCAAGATTTGTTGTCTGAGATGAAGATAAGTAATTCTCCCAAGAGTGATGATTCCAGAGAACAAGTGTTAAAGATGCATGTTCCAGGGAATCCCAAGGATTCTGGGGAATGTTCTATTCAGAGTTTAAGTCAAAGGAGTCACAACCTGCCTCTCAACAGTTATTCATTCTGTCAGAAGGTAGGGTACTTGGCAGTTAAACTGAGAGACTTCTGCAGTCACTGTGTCCAATTTGGTTGTGACCCGTTGGCCATTCACTGCCTGGTTGGAAGACAAAAAGATAGTAACAATTGCCTCTTCCTGCTATAAGGATGTATTTGGAAAATGCATTCTTGAGTGAAGAAAGAATGAGAAAAATGGTAAAGTGGGGGTGGGGCATGGGACTGAGGAAGAGCTTGCAGACATGAATGGCTAGGAAAGCATGGCTAGGGCAGGGACATGGGACAGAACTGAAATGATCTAGGAGAGTCAGAGCAAGGCCAGT